ATGGATATTACTCATCAATAAATAATGGTGAGTTATCTTTAGGCTTTGAGTTTTCAAGCAAAGAAGAAGCAATGATGGATATCAAAAATTACAATATCTGTAATTCTATTCAGTCCATAGTCAACCGATCGACGACCAAAAAATATGTATGCTACTGTGCCCGACACGAAAACGGATGCAATTGGATGGTTCGCATATCGAAAATGAAGAGGAAAAACAACATATGGGAACTAACAATATACAACGGTCCTCACACATGTTGTGCTGGAGAGGTCAACCAAGATCATCCCAACTTGGACTCTGAAATGATATGCCAAGCCATCATGCCTGTGGTAAAAGAAAGCTCTCATATAGCTGTTGCAGTGTTGATTTCAGCTATACAATCGCAGTATGGGTACACTGTCTCCTATAAAAAAGCTTGGTTGGCAAAACAAAATGCCATTGTCAAACTTCATGGCGAATGAGATGCATCTTACAACGAACTTCCAGGTTGGTTTAGGCTGGTGCGGACGTTGAATCATGGGATAATTATGGACTTCAAAACCTCATATGCATACCATAATGATCGAGTTCTTCGCGATCAAAACCAATTCTACCGGATTTTTTGAAGTTACCCACAGTGCGTTAATACTGCCAAATACTGCAAGCCTGTGGTCCAGATCGACGAGACTTTCTTGTATGAAAAATACAAGCAAGTTTTATTATTGGCAGTTGTTCAATATGACAATTGCAACATTCTTCCAGTTGCTTTTGCTCTTGTCGAAGGAGAAGATACAGATTCTTGGGCTTTTTTCCTCCGAAATTTACGTGCATATGTTATCACGAGGGAAAACATCTGTGTCATTTCAGATCGCGGAGCTGGGATCAAAGCAACAATGAAGTCTTTGGGTCCAATGTGGCAACCACCCTTTGTCCAACATAGGTATTGTCTCCGACACATTGATGCGAACTATCATGGAAGGTACAAGAAGAATAATGAGCGTCAATTAATTGTGCGCATGGGTAAGTGAAAACAAGTTAGTAAGTTATACTTTTTTTATCATTTTAATTTTGTAAAGAAAGCAAGTTAGTAAGTTATACATTTTTTGATCAGGTTACAAACTACTTCCTCGAACGTTTGAATCAATGCTTCAAGATTTGCGGGCGAAGAACGAGGAAAGATACGATTACATCAGCCTCATCGATAAAGAAATGTGGGCGAACACATATGATGGTGGTTATCGATATGGACACATGACGACCAACTTGGCTGAGACAATCAATTCAACCTTAAAGGGTGCACGTCACTTACTTGTAGCGGCTTTGGTAAAAACTACATATTTTAGTTTGGGGGCGCTTTTTGCGAAGCTCGGGGGATAAGCTCAAACCTGGATGCAAGGCGATCATGTCTATCACCTTAGATTAGTTGCAGACCTACAAAAAAATTGATGCATCAAATGGAATGTCTGTAACAAGCTTCTCTAGAAGGCATTAAATGTTTCGTGTCACAGAGTTGACGCGACCTCTTCAAGGGATTGAAGCTGTGTCGTTAAGAGTAAACCTAAGGGACAGAACGTGTGACTACGAGTTTTTTCAAGCTTTGAAGTATCCATGCTCTCATGTGATAGCAGCTTGCTCGCACACACGTCAATACTATAACCATTTTTTGGATCCCGTATACCTACTATCTGAAGTTTTTAAGGTATATAAATTTGAGTTTCCCTCCATAGGTAATGAAAAAGACCCTGATGAAGTTCAAGATTGGCTTTCGATTGTACCAAATCCGAGTTTATTGAGGGAGCGTGGTCATCCAAAATCCAATCAAATTCATTGTGATATAGATATTCGAGAAAGATCTAGACAAGGCAGAAGATGTGGGTATTGTAGAAACCCAGGACACATGAGAAAAACATGTTCACTTATGTTGTCATCAAGTAACAATTGATGAGGAAATGATGTATTTGTTTATCAAATAATAATTCTTGTACTTTAATTTGCATTTGCTTCAAGTTAATGATAACCAAATTGGTATTTGAATATAATTTTAAATACAACAAACTTACAATAAGTATTAAATGGTAAATGATAACCAAATTACAATAACTGATATTAAATGGTAATAAACAAAATTAACTGAAATACATTAAAAAAAGTCCAACAAATTTAACAAAATAAAGTAAGTATTAAATGAGAAATAATAAAAAATTAAAATTTAACAAAATAAAGTAAATACAAATATAATAAAAAAATCTATCGATGCCTGCGACGCGAATATGTTCCGCAGGGCGGTGGCTGTCGGTCTCGAGGAGGATTTCTTCGTATCACTGGTTCTGACTCCTCGTTGTCATCATCGTCACCGTCGTCGTCGTCGTCCTGAGAAGATACATTAGGTTGATGAAGAGCTGATGGCGATGAAGCACCTCCATAGAATAAGGACCCTGGAGGTGTATGACTGACTATCCCACCGGCCTGCGAAAACTGAGAAAACCCAGACATCGCTGAGTATGAAAACTGTACAGGAGGTGTCTGTGCTGCGGCCATGGGTAATGAGACTGAACCCGCCAAATATCCAGTATATGAACCCCAAGTCGAATATACAAACATAGACCCATAATAGCCTCCAGGAGGGGTCATCTGTGATGGTGGCGTAGTCATCATAAAACCAGGTGAAGGCGGCGGCATCTGGTAATGGAAAGGCGATGGCGGCATCGTATATGGCTGCGGCATCATATATGGCTGCAGTGGCTGCTGTGAAGTTCCTGCTGGTGTAGCTGAGGATGAACCGGAAGCACCTGCTCTCCGTCCACGAGTCGGGGGACGATGGTGCTGTGTCGGATCACGTCTCTGTCGACGTCGCGGAAAGGTCTGCCCTCGTGCATCTTCGGGAAGCAGAAACGGTTTCCCGTTATTGTTGAACCACTCATAATAACCCTCAGTATACATCAAGAAGTCTGTAAAAATGGGCTCTCTACTGGGAAGGCACCGATGTCGATCCTCCCACAATACGACCCACTTATGATGCCTCACCAGCCAATCTGTATCTGTCTTGTCGTGTCTATCTAAGTTATGCAACTCGTCCATATTGCGCGATGCATCCGGAATTGGTTGAAAACAACCAAACTGCCGGGGCACGCGATCAGTGGAGTGCCACTCGACGGTCGCATAACAGATCAGAGGGACCATCACCATCCAAACATTTGATGGACCCCTCAACTCAGGTGGGATCACCGCCCTCACATCATCAGTAGAATATGTCACTCATTCAAACTAAAACAAATAATATATAAATTTTATCAAAATAATAATCTAATTATATAACTATAATCTAAAATCGATTTTTAAACATTAAAATTCATACCTGTGTGCCAACCTTCTGATCGATTAGCACCCTAATTTTTTTATAAATCATCAGGTAGCTCCTGATGATTTTTCCTATCAGTAGACCACCTATTCAAGGAAAAAAATTTATTATACGCTGTATAAAATTATTAATATACAAAATCAGTTTTATAATTACCTCAGAAGTAGTGGAAATACGAATTGGTTCTTCACAACGAGACATAAAAGGGCAATCGATACCATGCCTAAGACTGCAGCAGCAGGAGACATCCGCCGATAGCATTACACCTGTAGTCAGTGGCTCCACACATCTCCCTGTACAGCAAAGCCAAAACTGCCGAGCCCTAACTGAATGATCCGGCGAGATGAAAGTCGCTAAGATGTCGCAACCACATGCAGTGAACTAGGTTGCGCGATTTGTCCGACATCAGCAACCATCCTATCAATTGCAATAAGCATGCCAGTGCATACATCTTAACCTCATCCTCAGAGGCGTCTGCGCTCAACTCCCGAAAATTGGCATCTAACCAATTTAACGGTATCCTACCTCCGATAAAACTTTCTGGGACACGTCCTAGATTATCCCGACACAAAGTAGTCCAAGAACCGGAAGCTATCCATGATATCACATCTCCATCCACCGGAAGCCCTAGGTTCATAGAAACATCCTCAAGCGTGATCGTGCACTCTCTGCACGGAAGATGGAATGTGTGGGTGTCCGGCCTCCACCGCTCTACTAAGGCAGAAATAAGGTATGGTTCTATCTTACAGTGACCCTGATATCTACTTATGTAACCAAATCCAGCCTCTACTAAATACGGCAAGACACGACTAGATATCACTAACTTAAGATTCCTAATAAAAGGATCTAATACACAGTCATTCTCCTAAAAATAAATAATTACAAAAATTAATTCTTAATCTAATAATCATGCATTAAATAAATCAACTAATTATTACTAATAATTTAAATTAAATTAAAACGTTAAAATGTTACCGTATCAGTAAAGTGTCGAGATATATGATTTCATCCAAGCGAAGTAGATTGCCTTCCATTATATATCTGCAAAAGAATTATATTAGTAAAATATTAAATAAAGTAAAATACTTAAATAAATTTAATACATAATAATAAAAATATTATAAAATATACCTTAAACAGAGAGAGTATTTGAGAGAAATTGAGAGAATTTGGTGTGATAAAAGTGATTGAGGATGGAAGTATTTATAGGGAGGATTGGGGTGTGGACGGGTGGGTAATTAAAGGTATAGCGTGCCCCCTGTACCGCGCTATACCCCACGTGTCAGTTAATTAGGTATAGCGCGACCCCTGATCCGCGCTATACCTCTACGTGGCGTATAGCGCGGATCATGGGTCGCGCTATACCCACGTGTAATCCATGTCAGCGTATAGCGAGGTGCAGGGACGCTATACCCCACGTGGCGCCAAATCAGCATATAGCGCCGGGCAAGAGGCGTGCTTTACTGCTACGGGTGTTAGATCAAGAAATATAATTTGACCGATGTTAGATCAATAAATATGTCGATCATAGGTGATTTTTCGAAAAAAACACACTCGCTATTAGCAATCTGTTGTAGTCTAGTTGGTTAGGACACTCGGCAAACTGGTAGTTTGGGCGTTTGGGCGTTTGGGCGGGAGATGTTCACTCGTCAACTTGGTCTTTTAGCTCTTTACTATTTTGGCCCTAGTCCCCCGCCCGCCAAATAATCGCCTCTAATCTTTGCTTCCAACGAGCCTTTTGAGAGAGAAATAGGAAAAAAATAGGGTTTCGAAATTTGAAAGAAAGTGTAGATTAAGAAGAAAAACAAATGGAGAAGAGGAAAATCAACAGAGGATGCATGGAGGCAAACATTTTAGCCATCTTAGACTCCTCCATCGAGTTTCACAATCACAGAGATTCTCAAGAAGCCAAAGACGACCGTCCGTACTCTCTCCGGTTTGAGATCAATTCATCCAGTTAACATCAGCAACAGTATTTTATTACTAAATTGAAGTTTTCTTTGTTTGAATTTAGGTATCGATTTTCTGGAAGCCGTGCGTACCGCTTGTATTGTACCAGAACACGGAACTCCTCCAACTAAGTAAATCTACTCCCTCACTCATTATTTCCATTTTTTTGCAATTAAGTTTATTGATTTTATCTTAAAATCATCATCGTTATTTCGTATTTTAATTATAGGAAAATGATTGAGGCGGTGTTTCAAATCCTGAAGGCAGGGAAATCTCTCGAGCTTATAATGTCTAGTTATGGGCTTCTGAATGAGATTGAAAATGTAATGGACTTTGATACTTTATTTACTTAGCTTATCATTTCATTACCTAATTCATTTAGGAAGAAGAAAAAAATAAGTTATATCAACACATTTTTTGATTGCAGAGGTTTCCTCGGGTTTATATATCTGAATCATCTGGTAATGGTTCACGTGAACTGGTTGTAGTTAAGGAGGTAAATAGTAATCTTGATGATGTTCAACAAGGTTTGCGTATTTGTTGATTCTATATTTAATTTGATTTTCCCGTTATTTATTTATCTAGTTTTGATTTTGTTGTTTGTTAGGCATGGTTGCCATTTGTTCTTTCCTTGGATGTCATGTCTAGTGAGAAGGACTCCAAAGGAAGAAAGTCGTGTGGACTGTTTAATCCCAATGTGAGTTGGATTTGTTGTTTGAAACTTTAGAATGTTAGTTGAGGATATGGCATAACTGAGGATTTGAGGTTTCTTTTATGTTGGACTCTTTGTGGTAAGCAGGGAAGCTAACTATATAAACAAGTACCACTAGTGCTTGAGCATAGCTTCGTTAGATTCTGTTTGATTTCCTCTATTGTTACCAGGGTTTTCATGAACTATTACTGGGCATTGCTGAAATGTCTTATAAAACGATTTCTCAGAGATTGGATTATAAGGTTTGTGTACTTTTTCCATGTATTTTGTCATCCAGTTCTTTAGAAAGTTTGCATATAGCGCGGAAGAATTATCACATAAATGTACATTTCAACTGTCTAATGTCCACTCATTCTAGTGGCGAAGCTCATGGTAATATTAAGCAAGTTTCACTAAATGGCAGTTTCTGAGGTTACCATAGAAAAAAAATCTTCTACTAATGCGAATGGAGTTTATCAGTCAACTACCGAGAATTGCATTAACCCAAAAGCTGTTGCTATAAATAATAACTTAATGTAGCTTTAAGGTTGCTCTTAGAGCATTTGTTGGTGATATCCACAACAATTATACCATTGGTTTGTTGGTTTTCCCTTGTAGGACCGTAGGAGACCTATATTTTCTATCCTATTACAGTAATTGTCTCTGTCTTTCATTTTATTTTTAGGTTCTACTTTTGTACTTGATGTTAAAACAATTTTATTGCAGTTCTTGGGAAATATGTTACTGTTTCAATATCTTGTCAATGTTCTTGAAGGAGATTTTGTACCCCGTATCAATATGTATAAAGGTAAGTCAATAACTAATGTTTTATGCTTCTTAATTATCAGGAAGGTTGACAGAATGTTTTATTGCAGAAAGCTTGAACTGGAACATTTTGCGGGAGTGCTTACTTAACATGCTTCTGGTCAGTTCCGGTTTTTCAACATTTAATTTCTCTTTTAGCTTTTGTTTCTGACATATTTCATTAAATGTATTATGTTATTCTGTCATCAGTTTTCTATTTTGGTGTTAATGCTTGATTTATTTGTAGGCCTCAAGAAGAATCACCTACAAGGTTTTAATGAAAGATTGTTTGTATACGATCTGTTCGCTGAGCCAAGATCATGCTGGAAATCATAATGAGTCTGACTGTTCTGAGACTTCTATTGAAAAGTCATCTGAGAATCATAATACTGATGTAGCAATTGCTTTACTTGAAGTTCAAAGGACTACTTGTATGGCTATGCAGAAATTTCTGATAATGGTTAGATCCTTAAATATCATTAAATATAAGATGCTTCTAAATTGTTTTCACTTTTTCTGTTGTTGTGGGCTTCTCTAGATTATGGAGCTTGACGAGTCAAAGCAGCAAGCCGAAGTGCTAGGTCAACTCAACAGAGCTGATGGTTTGAGGTAATTACTTGACTCTGTTTCTGGTGATTTAGTTTGTCTTCATATTTTTGTTTTGTATGTATATGACATCAGGTGGATAACCTCTGGATTTGGTGCAGAACCCGACTGGTAGAGATAATCTTGGACGAGCTAACGTACCACAGAAAAGTACTTCCCTCATTTCTTCAGGTTATCATTTATATATAACCACAAACACATACAATTTCAACTCAGAATAATATCTGGTCATAAAAAAACTATCTTTTATCTGGTGGAGAAAATATCCTGGGTAGGTGGCAGCAAACAAGTTCTACCTCTGATCTGGCCGATTCACATAGGCATCTCCTTGTCCTTTGATCATACTATTTGCTTAAATGTATGTTGCTTTTAAATTTTGATGGTAGGACTTCATTACCATGATCAGTGTCAAACATTGCTTCGTCAGTTTTTCAATTTTAGTTTTTTCAGACTTCAACTAATCTTCTGGCAACTATGTTTAACATCCTTTCTGATTGGATATTTTTCATATTAACAAATCCCAGACTGAGCATTTGTTTCAGATTTTATAAAAGTTTATGTGAACCTATGTTTGATAACTGCACTTTGATCTTTTAGGACCTAGTAAAGAATTCCTATTCAAATTTTAGATTTGTGCTCCTATTGACGTATTACAAGATTGGCATTTCCAATCATTAATACACTTTTTTCAGGTATTTAATGACCCTAAATGGAAGCTTGAAATCATCGTGCAGTATTTACTAAAATACATTAAGGTGAGTTATTAAGTTATTGTAAATGGTTGCCAACGATCTGTATTGCAAATTTTAGTGTTTCTGCAAATTGTGATACAAAGTCTGTGCAATATCTAATTTAGATAAATCTCATTTTGTAATGCAGCCGTCAGTTCACACTCGTAGATCAAATGGTCCTTCGGAAGATTTTCCATTTCATGGAATTTTGAAGTCCTTTTCAGATAGCAGCAGCACTAGAAACATTATAAAAAAACTTAATGTGGAAGTTGTTCAATTGCTTTTGGCGCATGCATTTCTTGTGAGTATTTTCTTTATTTGTTAAAGCTGATGCTATTCACTGCTTTGAATAATTATTTTAATTGCAAGTAGAGTTAGTTGATATGAGTATCTGATGTTGTTTTGATTTGTCTTCAGGAGCAAAGCAAAAAAAATGTTATCTTGTTGCTAGTGCTTATAAGGATGGTTTTTCTATTGGTCGTGTGTTGCGTTTTTTGTTGTTGCTATGGTTCCTTATTCAAAATGTTCACTCATATCATATTATGTTTGGTCAATTTGTTGATACGAGGATAATCAAGATTCAAGAAATTTAATCAGAATTATCTTCATTGAATAGTGCAATGCTTTATGGTTATAATCTTTTAGATAATGACATGAGAGGGTGAAATAACCGTGAATCTAAATTGAAGCTTTTTAGCTTCAATTTTGATTCATTTTTCTGGTGTAATTAACCTGAAAATTTCAAGGTTATTATAGAGCAACGATTACTACCACAAAACCGGTACGAAGTTAATCTCTGTAATTTTTCCCGCGTTTGATTTTGTTAGATCTTATGATTTTTGTTCCAGGCCTATACATCCATGGCATCTCAGCAGCATCTTTCCACCATGCCGGATCACAATGAAGCTGTAACAGACAGCTTGTCTCTCATGGAAATTTCTAAGAACGTAACTGCGGCTTTCAATAGTCTAAGAAAAGCAGATGAGTAAGCTTCTTTTTATCTCTGTATTTTTCCTGTGTATTTATTACTTCGCCATATTCTGCTATACCTGCAATTCAGCTACATGTTAGGCGCAAGATGATCATCTCGGCTTGAGCTAACGTATCTATGTGGATTTTGCTTCGTAGTATGTATTAATCAAGTGCATTTGTACATCTCATCCTGTAGGAAAATTGAGATATCATCTCTTGGAAAAGAAGCACTGTTTACAGCAGGAATGATCATTTCCACTTCATAGGCCTAGGCCAAGAGAAGGATGCGGCTAACTTTTGGTTCCAAAAGGGTCGCATTACTGAATGTATAACTCATTTGCTTGGATATCTTGAATGTAAAATGACGGATTTCATTTAACTTATTTATCTGTACCCAGCACATGTCATCCAACATGCAATTCTTACCTTTGGTAGGACCGCGGTCAGAAAAAAACCCGAAAACCCATTCGAATTCCAGTGTTCCATTTGAGTTTATTAAATTTGGTTTAGTTTTGATTTGGTCCCGTATTTAAACTTGTTTCCTTCGGTTTTTGATTCACAAGTTAAAAACCATTATTTTGAATTGAATCAAATTTTATTTGAATTTACTAAATTTCAACCTTCTTTTAATGTTTTCAATTTAATTGTAGAACATTGGCCATGATAATAACCGAATACAGTAATCAATCATGGCATCACTAATGTTAGGGATAATAACCATTATTCGTGTGTTTTAGTGGTATTGTTATGGCATTAATTTTTCAGTTTTCGTAAGTTGAAGGATCCAATTCTGATAAATATATAGGAAATATCCTTTTTTTTTTCTGTTGTCCTTTTAGTTTTAAGGTTTCGTCATGCTTTCAGTTTTAAGGTTTCGTCATGATTAATCTCGACCGGCCTGTGTTGCACACTTGATTTTAGTGGATGAGTGTCTCAACAGAGATTTTCTGTATACACAATGACTTTAATTCAGATTTTGCTTAAACTATATCAACATGCTTATCACATAAATCATTCCCGTTGATATATCCTTTTAGTTTTTTTTAAAACATTGGATCGGAGTTAACAATTAGACAATTATTGTGACGTTCTTGTTATTACTTGATCGTTGACGTCGAGATTAATTTTGGACTAGTCGTTTATCTCTGATTTTTCTATTTCTTCTTTAATTATATCACTTTTTGTGTAATTAGTTCTCTCCTTTTCCTACAAAAATATTATATTTAGTTTGATGTGCTCTTAGAATATGTTTTTTACTTTTCCTCTCAAAGTTGAATTTTAATCGTCTCTATTAAGATGAAACTTGTTTGATTATCATATTAATTTATATTTACTTTATAATCTCAGATCGAATAGTGCGTGATTATCATATTAATTTATATCTACTTTGTAAACTCAGGTTGAACATTGATAGACACTCACGGTTAGCGAAAATAAATCATAATTGAGTTATAAAATTTTATTTTGTTAATGAATAATTATTATTGCATGTATTTCTATATTAGAGTTGGTTGTGTTTATCTTTCATTGATAATAATAATTTTTATTTGTATCTAGTATTTGTTAAGAGTTATTTGTTTGAGTTTTTAACATTTATTTTATATGATCTTTTTAAATTGTTAAGTGATTAGTTTATGCACTTCTGTAATTCTATAAAAATGTTCGAATTTAATATACTCTTGTTTTTATAAACTTTTATTATAATTTTAGTGCTATATTTTTATTTAATAAAAATGGACAATTATTGGACCATTAGAAAAATAAAATGTTGTTGTGGCCACTGACCAATGGGCTTGAACTCAGTTACATGTTCTAAAATAACGGACCAGAAGGCCGAATTACTTAAACACAGTCGTTTAATGAATAAGAAAACGGGATATAAAGTAACGGAACCGAGGAGATCTGTTAAACGAGAATAACCTTTTGCTATTATTCTTGGAAATTCCTTTAATAAAAAGAGCCATCGAGTCGAGTCTTCTCCAAGTATTCTCTCAGCCTCTCACAGGTTTCCTCCTTTCACTTTTTACACGCATCTAATTTCACTTTCATTTTCCTTCTCAGTTTTTCAGTATCCAAACAGAGTTCAGAAACCCTGGAAAAAGCTCAGTAAAAGTGTTATTTTTGTTTATTTTCCTGGTTTTTAATTACGTTAATATTGTTGAAATTTCAGTCTTTCGGTTAATCTCCATCTTTAAATTACACCAAATGACTGACGCTTCAGAGGAAGCCAAGCAAATCGAGAAGCTCTACGAGTTTGGCGAAAGCCTCAACGAGGCCAAAGATAAGTCTCAGGTTGGAGCCTCTCGTTCCACTCACTCTCTATTCCTAGGGTTTAATCCCCCCCTTTTTCTAGCTGTAACTTGTCTAATTTGTGATACAGAATGTGAAAGACTATGAAGGGATCATCGATGCCACGAAGACGAGCATAAAGGCGAAGCAATTGGCTGCGCAGCTAATTCCTCGCTTCTTCAAGTTCTTTCCCAACCTCAGCAGCCGTGCTCTTAATGCTCATTTCGATTTGATTGAAGAAGAAGATTTGGCAGTTAGTTCATACTCGATCCACACACGTTCTTACTATATTTGGTTACTGAAAAATTGGGGGAATTAAAGTGAACTATTAGTTTTACTGTGTTGAATCTTATTAGATTTTGGACCTTTTTGTAGGTTCGGGTGCAAGCAATTCGGGGGCTTCCTTTATTTTGCAAGGACACGAAGGAATATATTTCTAAAATTGTAGACATTTTAGGGCAACTCCTTACTGCTGGTAAAAGTGGAATCCTTTTTTTAATTTCTATTTTTACTTTATTTTTTTCCCAAAGAATGTCTTATAAGTATGTGCAGTGTGTTTAATCTCTTTGATGTACTTTTGTTTCTTCTCTTCTAGAGGAGATTGTGGAGCGTGATGCTGTTCATAAAGCCCTAATGTCGGTGCTGAGGCAGGATGTGAAAGGTAATTTGGCATTCTGATAAAGTCTGGTAATAGAATACATTTATTTATTTTAGTAATGTGAAATTTGACTATTAACTATTGCCTGTGAGTTCTATAACCAATTTTTTGCAGACTAGAATTTGGTTATATTGCATCTCTTGCAGTTTCCTCTTCTAGGGACTAGTAGGTGTTTGGGTTGTCTAGGGTAGTTCATGAGCTTTGTGAATAAAAGAACTTTGAGGATACACATATAAACTAAAATGCTAAGTTAGATGTAATAGTTATATTGACAAATGTAATCAACCTTTTTTAATATGCTTTCATATCCTTATAAAGTTTGGCATGAATCAACATGCAGTCTTCATTTTCTGGAATTTTTCTTCCTGGTTTATCCCTTGATGTCTATATTCTCTTGTGAATGCAGAGTCATTGACAACACTATTCAAGCACATTTGGAATGTGGAGGACTCAAGTCCAGATGACACTATCCGTGACAAGGTTTTGTGCTTTATACGTGATAAGGTAAAGACTGCTTCTTCGTGTTCCAATTGTTGCTATCCCGTGCTTTGTTTCCCGATGATAATTGAGTGGGAATCAACTGTGTTTGTAGGTTTTTCCTCTTAAAGCTGAACTCTTAAGACCTCAGGAGGCAATGGAAAGTCATATTACTGATTTAATTAAAAAGGTACACTTTTGATTTCATTACTTAAGCTTTCATTATTATATCTAGTTTTTCCTTCTTCCCCCTGAATTTTGAAATTTTAATAGGAAGATGTAGGACTGATTCTATTTATTTGCAACGCAGAGTTTAGGGGATGTAACTGGAGCTGAATTCAGAATATTTATGGACTTCTTAAAAAGTTTGAGCATATTTGGGGAGAAAGCTCCTGCTGAGCGCTTGAAGGAACTTATTGAAATAATTGAAGGGCAAGCTGATTTAGACGCACAGTTTGATGTGAGTTCTTCTTTGCTGAATATTGGTTTGGATCTTTCCTTTATGATGCCTGTCTTGATTCTTATGGTGTGTTTGGTATACAAGCTACCACTTTTCATAATTTAATGTAGATATTCTTTAGATTTTAGAAATGTTGCGGGGCCATAAAATATAAAAATTGTTTGCCAGCATTGTCTAGTTGAGGTTCACCATTGCAATGCCCTTGTATCAACTATCAACTGGCTTTTGTATGCAGGTTTTGGATGCAGATCATATAGATAGGTTGATATCATGTCTGTTCATGGCTATTCCATTTTTTGTGGTAAGGACTGATTTGGTATTACCGAGTATCTGCTTTTGATCCATTAAATATCCTTCCAATATACGAACTTAATTAGCTGTTGCTTACCTCTAAATCATTTTACAGAGGGGTTCTTCTTGCAGCAAGTTCCTCAACTACATAAACAAGCACATTTTACCTGTTTTTGATCAGGTATACTAACATCCATCATTACAAAAAATTGACATGCTAATACATTAGAAGCTCTAGAAATGATACTTAAATATGTTGTGTCTTGCTCACTTCAATACATCTGAATATTCCCTGAAAATGGGAAATTTTTTCTACTAGAATTTCTTGAGGAACTCTGTTTTGTTAAGCCACTTGCATGATCCTTTATTTTAAGTAGCTAGTACTGTCGACAGGAATATGTAATAAAATGTCTGTCTTACAGCTTCCAGAGGAGAGAAAGCTAGATTTGCTCAAAGGCCTGGCGGACATTTCTCCTTACACAACACCACAGGATTCACGCCAGATTCTTCCTTCTGTTGTTCAGCTTTTAAAGGTACAGGCATACATTTACGTATCATATCTTGTTGAATTGTTAGATTTTTATTTTATAGTTGTCTCAAGCATGTTTATATTTATATGGATTCTGTTTATTTATGAACTGTTTCTTTCTTTCTCAGAAGTACATGCCTGCGAGGAAGACCGGAGAAGAAACAAACTTTACTTATGTTGAATGCTTGTTGTTTTCATTTCACCATTTAGCCCACAAGGTTTCCTCCCCCTCCCAAATGATCTTTTAAAATAAAATTTTCTTTGTCACCATGTACTGTGTAAGGCTTATTTGAATATTATTGTTATATAGGCTCCCAATTCCACAAACAGTCTATGTGGTTACAAGATTGTGACCGGTCAACCATCAGATAGGCTTGGGGAGGACTTCTCAGAGTATTATAAGGAGTTCACCGAGAGGTAATCTAGCTTCTTGTCTCCATTATGCTATAGGTTTTACAAAAATAAAAAAAACAACTGGTTCTTTACTTCATACCGTATCTTGATGAAGGTTTGTCTTGTTTGTAACAGTCAATTTATTTGTGTTCATGGGCTTAGATTTTGGATATATCTGTGTGAACTGTTTCTTTAGTTCAATTTTTTCTACGTTCTATTCAGTTCCTCAAAATTTGATATATATCCATTGAATCAATGAACCAATTCTGATATTTGCCAAGGACTCCTAATTTCTAAGAAAAATAAATAAGCTACAGTCAACCAAATGGACTTAGTATGCTAAGGCACAGCAAATTCCTCTAGTGTTGCCAAAGATAGGGCTAATGCATCTTTTATCTTCAGCATAGAGGGTCCATCTTGGGTGCAAGCTAACTTACGGATCAGTCTAGAATGCTTTGATGGAAAAGAAGTATCCTCAAATCTATCATCATAAGCTGAATTGTTGTCATATTGCTTATAATGCTTCTTGTTTACTGTTGGTACTTGCTTTGTAATGAATGGTGGTCCAGATTGAGTAGTATTGAAGACCTAACGAGGGCCACAATGAAGAAGTTAACTCAAGGAATGGCTGAGCATAATAAAGCAATGGCTGCTGCTAAAACTGATGAAGCAAAGGATAGCATTGTGAGTTTATTCTTAAAGTATCCCATATTTTAGTTTGTTTTCCTCTTCCATTTTTGACATTTATCCTTCATTATCTGTTTGCAGAAAACTCAAAAGCAGAACACCACAACGGGATTGCGTACCTGCAATAACATTTTAGCCATGACAAAGGTAAAGGGGAGTGAAATTTGTCTTCTAATTTATATAGTGGCTAAACACTGAGCTGTTTATCTTTTATTATTTACCTGTTCAGCCCTTGCATTCCAAATCACCTGCATTCATTGGAGATAAGAGTGTCAACCTTTCTTGGAAAGAAGCTATAAAACCTTCTGTACCCTCCAATGCTACTGCAACTGGGTAAATTTCCTGTTTATTTTAACTTGTTTTCTGATTACTGTTATCTTCTTGTATTTTTGGCTTTACACAAAATAAGACCCACATTTTCTGATGTGGTGATTGATGAAGCATGCAATGACCTATTGGCCTTAATAGAATCAAACCGCATAAAACTATATCCATTTTCATGTACGTTTCAAGTGGACTCTGGCTACAGTGTAACCATGACAAAACAATTTTAATTGTGCAATTCTTGTGCAGGGTGAAGCGACCTAATGCAGCTAATGGATCTAATAATTTTGCAACAAAGAAGGGCCGTGGGGCTGGTGGTATGCCAAATCAGCTTGTTAATAGAGCATTTGAAGGTATATCTTATGGTGGGAGAGGCGGTGCTGGAAGAGGCAGGGGTAGGGGATGGGGAGGACGTGGAAGAGGAAGAGCCTATCGGTAACTTGAGAGCATGATACATAGAACAACAGCGATCAGAATTTCTCGACTCTATTTGTACCAGAAGAACACGCTGAGAAGTCATTGATATGTTAAAACCTACTCTCTTTTCAAGACGGTTTTGTTTGATACCTGATGCTCTGATGAGTTTCTAGATTCGTTGTGGACTAACAACAGCCATTGTAGTCCTTTGGAAGATTGTTTTAAGTTGGATTGACTAGCATCTGTGATTTGAGTTCCCAAACCTGTCAAATCTTGATGACAGTAAAGTTAACAGTGATGTAGGATGATTACTCATACCTGGTTATGTAGAATCTGACCTCGTTTGTTATGTTAATTTTGATCTTAAATAAGCATTAAACACTTTTTGTGCATCATTTTATTTCATTTGGCACAGATTAGTTTGTTTGTCAGTTGAGAACCGCAGCTGCATTTCAATCTCAGCTTCTGCTTGTGATCTCACCTACATTCACATCATGATTTTAACAGAATCTTTACATTACAATAGTTTAATTTTAAACTATGATTGGTATAAATTTTTTAAACTTTACCTTACATAGAATTTAATTTTAAAAGAAGACGAATAATATTTTGACCCCTAAAGTTGTATAATTTTAGTATCTAATTTTTTTTTATTACACTTTCTTCAAGTAAAGTATATTACCTTATTTTATTGTTACATTAAAAAATCACATAATATTTCAAGAACGTGTCATTTAGAATGCTATACGTAGCACAAAACATATACTAAATTTAAAAAAAAAAACTTGAAAAAATTCACAGGTCTTTGAAAATTCTCAAAATATTTTTTAGAAAATTGACAATTTTTAGATTTTTAAAGATATTTATATGAAGTTTTTTGAGTTTAACATATATTGTATCATATAACACTTTAGGCGCACGTTCTTAGAGTGCCACATGATATTTTCCGAATGGGAGAATAAAGAGGGATAGCATGTCTCATGAAAGGATAAGATTAAACTGAAGAAAATTTTTCTTGAAATATCAAAATGATAATAAAGTAAAACTTCAAAATCTAAAATAAAAAGTTCTTAATTTTTATTTGTAAAATTAAAATATTCGAACTCATAATATAAAAAGATAGGACTAAACTCCAGCATTACACTAGGTTAATTTAAACTAACATCCATAGAAGATGACCGGTCTAGTGCTAGAAACTGAGGTAGATAGCATAATATAAATAAGACTAAGTTCTTCCGAGGACTACATTGCCCTAATTAAAGAGGGCATTACATTACATGCAGCAGTCTAGAGCTTTAGGTTAAGGTCAATGAAATCTCCCGTTTCTTCAGTACAACTTTTCTCAGTTGAAGTAGTGCCCCTTTGCACCTCTTCCTGCTGTAATAAGAAGCTAAAAGATCCCTTGTTGTGAACTGAAACCTCTGATCCTGATGAAGACGACGTCTTTTGCGGTAAAGACCCCTCAGTGTTCTCCTTCATTTACGAAAAAAACACAATTTTTTTTTTCAAACCAGGGATAGGACATGGAAACATAGATATAACCCAGAAAAAAAGGAATTCAAAGTGAACAGAGTCGTGGCATTGTTAAAGTTGAACTATCTTACTTGGAAAGGGAGTTTCTTGATGAATTTGGACAAGTCAGGTTGAGAATTTTCAGTAGTCGTTGAGCGACTAGAATTGCCACTAGAGTTGCCATGGTCAAATGTTTTCACTTTCAACTCCAAAGGGATTGTTGACAATGGGTTTTTGTCTCTGATAATGGCAAAAATAAACAAAAACAATATTTATGGTTAAAAAATTAGGGTTTAAGGTTTATGATACGTGATATTCTACTAGCAGTGTATCAATTAGTGGGAAAAAAACTGAATACACAAGGCTTGGAAGCTAACCGGGATGTTCCAAAGTTGAAGAAATCATTGTTGCTAGACGAAGATGAAAGATCGAGCCTGGGAACCTGAGGGCGGACCGGTTGAAAGGGCATTGGAGTAGGCCTCGGCCTCCAGTTCTCGACGGGGAAACTAGGCCTTGGCCGCTTGGTGCCCGTCATCTAATTGCATGAAATGAGCTAGAAGAATGTGAGAGTATGCAAAAGAAAGAGATGTTTATGTATATTTAACAAGTAAAAACATGGTTTTATATGTATGATTAAGACAAACATGGAAAACAAAGTAAACAGTAAACACAAACACTAAATTTGCATGCACTTGCCATGTATTCCTCGCCAAATAGTGAAGATATGAAGTTGCGAGGACTAGGTTTTTGGTTTGAAGGGGGCTCTACATGACGATACTCCCCTGGAGAAGATGATTGGGTTTTTGTTGTTGCAGACTGCGGGAAAAGAACCATCTGGTTTTGAATTCATGCATGTCAGTGTCCAAAAAAAAAACAGTGTAAATAATTAAACGTAGTCAGGAATTTAACAAGAACAAAACTGGGTTTTTTTTTTACAAATGGATGATGATGATTCTGCAACATGGGAGGAGGAGGAGATCGGTTCGAAGCAAGCACAGGAAAAGTGAAACCAGCAGCCATTTTTGGAGCTTCCTCGCGTTTCCTTGTCAACTCCGATGACGAGCCCCATGATATCGGCAACAAGGCTTGTTCAGGCAAGAAGACGCCTGATCCGCCGATATATACCACTTTGCTAGGACCATTGGCAGCGCCCACGTTTAACTGTGAACTGCCACTGCCATCACCATGAATTGCAGTCACTGGGAGTGATGAAGAAGAAGAAGAGATTCCTCCGTTAATCCCATTTCCTTCCCCCAAATGACCATCTTTCTGTTCTTCTTGTTCGCGCAATATCTTCTCCAGCTCAGCCACTCCCGGTCCTCGTTTGGGGATTCTCTGCTTCTTCGTCATGCTGAAGAGGGTCTTCTTCTTCTTCTAGGTTTTTGTTAGATCATCAACAATATGAAGAAGATCAGAAATCTAAAACAAGAAACATAAATCATTCAAATATTTGTAAATCCCAAAAGGTAGAGTCGAAACAGTAGTAGCGGATCCATAATTTTTTTTTAAGTAGACACATATATTAATAACATAAATTTTTCATACAGAGTATATATAAATAAAATTTTAAGATAAATACATTAAGTAAAATAAACTATTAACATAAGACTATTTAGATTTTAAGGTGGACGTGTACCCACCCTGACCAAAACCTACATCCTCCTGCGAAAGAGGCTACCTATGCGTAATGAAGAAGTGGCATTAAGGAAAGTCCGCCCATGTTTTAAGCAGATAATAGATCTTAGAAAGAGAACACCGATATATATATATACTATGTTAGAAAAAAAGCATGTAATTTATTACTTCCACTTTCCGATATTTTATGAGTAATTTGTCTGAAAAGAAAACTAAAAATCATCGAAACCTTTGTTGTTGTTTTTGTTTTTGGTCCCTTGATTTTGATAAAAAAAAATTCTCTCTATTGACGGTCGTCAATGTACAGTAGTGTGTGTGAACATGAAAATGTGCTATTTGTACAGGAAGGTCCATGGCTGATGTGTCTCAAAATGTTTGCCATGTGTATGTGCAGCTGCTGGGGAGGTTTTTAAATGCCACTCCCCAACATATTTGCATGGAATGTAAAGGAGTCTGTGGTGGGTCCCACTATACTAAGACAAGCAATGAGCCGGTGGAGACGGATTTTGGTCAGACTTGGTTCCCTCATTCAAGAATTGGAAAATCTGATTGGTTCTCATTTTATAGGCTGTTTCACCTGTCCTAAATTGAACTTCTCTTTTCACATCTACTCACAAATCTCACGCTTTTTTCCACTCAAACTAAGACTTTCTCACCTACCAACTAAAATCACGCAAACAAAAAAATAATAATCTAATATCAAACTTTAAAAAATAATAAAATCATACGAAAAATAAATAAATTGCCTCGGATTCAATTTTTCCATAATATTTTTTTAATCAAAGTTGGAGGAAAGACGATAACGATCGAGGCCGATTTTAAAATTGAAGTCAAACTAAAAGTTAAGAGATAATAGGAGATTGTTCGAAATAAAGTTCTTAGAGTTTCAATTTAGGAAAATAGTATATAAAACAAGCGAGGGATAAAGAGAGACAGAGAACACGAGTTACCGCTGTTTAGATATGAGGACGTCGAAGACGACTGCGTACGGTAGAACTTCCCCGATAGGTTTAGAGCTCAGAAATACGAATAGATAGCATCGAGAGGGTGGAATAGGTGAAAAAAATGAAATGGACTTGGGAATATATAAAACCCTAATATATAGTAGTAATTTCGTAATATTCCAAATAATAATGACATTTTAGTAATTATACCAAAGCGATGCAGGTATAACATAAAGCCCTACTTTAACTCAATTTTGACTCTTTTCTTTTAAAAAAATACATCATAACATGTCTTAAAACCCGAATTAACAAAAATAACCATCGGGTAGAATTTTTTTTTCTACCCCTAGTAATAAGACAAGCACTTTGGACCCCACTTTTGCTATATGTTGAAACCTTGCCTCCTAAGTTTAGGAATACTATAGGTCTAATTATGCTTCGAGTCCTTTAAACTCTCTGCATGTTTGAAAATTTGACTATTTAATTTTAATTTGAGGAACTTGGATCGTTGAGCTAACGACTTAAGTTCGATTGATTACACCTTCACGAATTTCTGTTATGAAGAATTTACAAGTCTAATTCAAAATCGAAAATTTTGGCTAATTCTATACTGGCTCCAGTGCTGATATGAGACAACCTTATTCTCCAAGGTCTCTGGAGGAGTTTCCGAGCCCGGTTAAGAAGGGCGACCTCGTGCATGTGGGGAATATCATTAAGGATGCCAACCACCTCTTTATTGTCCATATCCACTTTGATCTCACGTATTATTCCTCTAGTCCAAGCAATTTCTAAACCATCGTTGAAAGCTCAGAGCTCCGCAGAAAACGCAGAGCAGTCTCGAAAAAGGCCACCACTCGCTGCTTCCAGAGTGTGTATCTAAGGCTCCATCCGTGTTAAGCTTAAACTTGCCAGCGGAAGGAGGAATCCATCTTTGCCTCATGTTCCGATGAGCGCCGGGGGATGTCTTGGCGTCATGGTTTGCCTTGATAGCTTGAGCCCAAGTCAATGCCGACTTACCGATCTCCGTGGAAGACCAAACATGTCCATTAAAGACAAAATTATTACGTTGTTTGCATAATCTCCAGACAATTATCCCAAAGACATGCTTCCAAAGATAAGCTTATTGGTTCAATCATGTATTTGTTTGAAGATTAATATGTAGCCAATCAATCAAAGTCAAGGAATAGAAATTAGAAAGTTCTTAGTTAGGAACGAAGCTCTCCCAAACCATTTTGGCATTTTGGCAGTCTCGGAGGATATGAACAACAGTCTCATCGCCCTGATGACAAACCGGGTAAGTAGGGTCTGTCGAAAAACCACGCCTGACCCTCTCGGCATTCGTCATTAAACGATTTCGAAGGACAAGCCAGAGAAATTGCCTGACACGTTTCGAACCATCAAACTCCCAGGCTATGTTCCAAAGCTTATCTTTCGGCTCCCACGTGCTATTCTTCAGTTAAAAAAAGTCGAGCTAATAGTACATCTTCCTCTGTGGTTCCGTCTCCACATGGGTTGATCATAATCCATGTCATTGCGCGGGGGAGGAATGGCGTAAATATGCTTGATCGTGGTCTTATCCAAGTACTGTTTGAGCAAACCCGTGTTCCACTCACCATTTGCGTCAGTCAACTCGTGGACAGTGGCAGTCCGGTCAACGTTGGAGAGATGCATCAAGGTCCAATGAAGCTGGTCAGTGCCTGGGACCCAAGTGTCACACCAAAATTTGGCACATTGACCTTTACCAATAGCTCAACACATATTACTTCGAACAAACTCCCAAACTCGAGCAAGGGAATTCCAAATGAACGAGAAATTATTTCTCTCAATGCTTGTAGGGACCGACTCCCTCGTTATATTTAGAGCGAAGCACTTGAACCCACATAGCCTCCGGTCGCAGTTCGAGGTGGTAACCCAACTTAACGAGGAAGGCCTCATTTTGAGATTGTAGCGGTCTCAAATTGAGACCACCATGTGCCTTACGTTGACAACATTTATCCCAGATAATGAGAGCCATCTTGTCCTTCGTCCCCCCAAGATAAATCAGCAGGCAATTTGTTCGATTTGCTCACAAACATTTTTGGGGATGGCACAGTCTGCAACTGTGCATTAATTAGGAATGACCAGTAGAGTAGCTTTAACGAGGGCCACCCGTTCGGCCATTGAGAGGTTGGAAGCAACCCAGGAGTTCAGTTTATTACGGACTTTCTCAATAAGGAAATGGAAGGTACTCTTGGTCATTCTGCTATGGAAAAGAGGTATGCCAAGATACATCCCAAATTATTAGAGCGTTGGCATCTCAGAATCGTGCAAACTTTATCCGCTAAATCATCCTCAACATTAGCTGAAAAATACACTTTAATTTTGTTCGAATTTACCTTGCGCCCAGATAATCTGCTGAATCGATCAATGATGCTCCAACTAGGCTAGCTTGACTTTTCGTCGCATTTTTAAGAAGGGTCAAATCATCGGCGAAGAATAAGTGCGACAATTTAGGCCCCCACGAGAAAGAACCATTGAGTCCCAAAGATCAACATCCATGGTATAATGAATACTCTACCCCAAACGTTCCATGCAGAGGACGAAAAGATAAGGAGATAGATGGCAGCCTTGGCGAATACCTCCCGTAAGTTTGAAGTTGTCCGAGAGAGAGTCATTCTAAAGGATTTGAAAAGACAAGGTGGTAACCGAATCCATGATAATCCGATGTAAGATGTTAAGGCACCCCATGTCCTTAATAGAGTCCGAGAGGAATAACCAACTAACCTAGTCATACGCTTTTTCAAGTTCCACTTTAACAGCCATCCATTTGGTCTTACATTTCTTTTCCTAATCGAGTGGATCACATCTTGGGCAATAAGGATTTTGTCAGTAATAATTCGCCCGACAATGAAACCAACTTGGTTGGGAGCAATTATCTTTGGGAAGATCACTTTAAATCTATTGGCGATGACTTTCATAAGCAGCTTGTAGAGAACAATACAAAGGTTGTTAGGCCGAAAATTTGAGAAAGACTCAGGCTATTCACTTTTGGGATCAAGACTGAGATGGTTTTATTTAGCTCCGGGTCAAGAGATTTACCATCAAAGATGTCCTTAATCCATTTGTAAACCGAGGCACCCACATTATCCCAATGCTTCTAGAAGAAAAACGAGTTAAGCCCATCAATTCCAGGAGACTTCAGGGAATTCATATTGTCATCACCCATTTTATTGGGGGTAGTGACGTTATAAGTGGGATATTATTAAATATAGTATATGATATATTGTATTTTTTTGTAAATAATATTAATATAGTTTTCATGGTATGAATCTAGTCTATAGTTTTAATAAATAAAATATTAGTATTACTATATAGTGGGTGGTCTTGTGAATATATTATTAGTTAGGGATGTGCATGGGTCGGGTTTTTGGACCACCCGACTCAACTTGAGAAGAAAAGGTACTCCACCGTAATCCGATCTAATCCGATAAAATTATAATTTCACTCGACCCGACCGATAGGCATTTAAAAAAATCATTCCCGTTCCGACCCAACCCGATTTAAATTTTTTATTTATTAAAACTTACAAATTTTTTAATTTAAAATATAAAAAATACCTAAAATAATCGTTAGAAACCACATCTTAATATTACGATTGGTCCGCATTTTGGACTAAAATAAAAAGGAGATAGGACGTGAAAAAAAAACATTAAAAGGAGTTACATAGTACACAATAAAGATAAAGGGTACTGAGCATTGTCATGATTGGGCCTAGTAATCACATGCTTGCAAGTTGTATTCACCTCCCTCGAGAATCATGAAAGTTGCCGATTAGGGTATGTATAGGTAAAGTAAAAAATTAAAATAATAATAATTAGAACTGTTCATTCCGTTAAAACCGAATCGAATCAAATTGAATTAATCGAACTTTTTTTTCTTTAACCGTTAATTAAATCGATTTTTTTTTCAAAAATATTAACCGAACCGAATAAATTTCGGTTAATTCGATTAATTTTCGAATTAATCGAATTTTTTTAAAATTTTTCTAATTTATATAAAAATTAAATATTTTTAATTTAAAAAAAGTTTATAATTAATTTAAATAATATATAATTATAAAATAAGAATTTCAGATAAATTTTTTAATTAATTAATATTGATTTAGGTTTAAAAGTTATTGGATCTTAAATTATTAATTGAGTTTTAAATAGTTTGGACATAGCCCATATGTTATATATAATATATATAATATTTTTTAATTAAAAAAAATAGTTTACAATTAACTTAAATAATATATAATTATAAAATAAAATTTTATATAATTTTTAATTAATTAATATTGATTTAGGTTTAAAAATTATTAGATCTTAAATTATTAATTGGGTTTTAAATGGTTTGGGTTTAGCCCATATGTTATATATAATATATTTAATATTTTTTAATTTAAAAAAACAGTTTACAATTAATTTAAATAATATATAATTATAAAATAAAAATTTTATATAATTTTTTAATTAATTAATATTGATTTAGGTTTAAAATTATTAGATCTTAAATTATTAATTGAGTTTTAAATTATTTGAGCTGAGTCAATATGTTATATATAATATATTTAAAATTTAATTTCGGTTAATTAACCGAATTCGAACCGAATTAACCGTTAACCGAATTCTAAATTTTGTTTAACCGTAAACTGACCGAACTAATTCGGTAACCGAACCGAATTAACTGAACTAATTCGGTTCGGTCGGTTAACCGAATTAACTGAACTAATTCGGTTCGGTCGGTTAACCGAATTAGTTCGGTTATTTAAACAACCCTAATAATAATAATTATGCATTAACTATTCGGGTCGGGTCGAATAGGATTATTTTAATCCTAAACCGACTCATAATATTTTACTATAAAACCCGACCCAACCTCGATTTTTTTTTAAAAAAAAATTGATCGGAACCCATCGGGTTGGGTTCCATGCCATCCCTATTATTAGTGCATATGATTTTCATAATATTAATATGTTTTTAAAATGCTAGTATTATTATGTTTTTTAAAATATGCTAGTATATGGTTTTAATATGATTTTAGTATAATAAATAAATACATATGAGTATAAATAATAAAGTCCATTTTGAAGGTTCATTTATATTACATATTGTGGCTCATTCACAAAAATAAATCCATTTCCAAAATACATTCAATAAATTCTTAACCCAATACAAGCCCAATTCATGTTTTGGAATTTGAAAATCTGGACCCTAGTTTTTTGTGTTTTGACGCCCATTGCTTTTTCCTTTAAAGGAATCTTTGACTTTTGTTACTCTGGGAAGATAAGTATTAACGGTGGGCCCTTTCTTTATTTGCTACATTTAATGGTGATTTTGGTTTCCAATGTGCCATGTCGATATCTTTGTGAAGAAACATAAATTAATTGGGACCGTTGATAAAGATTATTCTTAGGGTGCGTTTGATTCACGAAATGTAAGATTATCAGTAGGAATAAAAGATTATCAGGAAATAAGATTAATGAAAATGTTATATTTTATATTTGATTGGTTTAACAAGAATGTAAAATTACCGTGTTTAATTAAAAGAATAAAAGATTATTAGAATATATATTTAACTAAATTATCCTTATTATATATTTGTATAATATTTTAAATTGTAAAATATTTATATATTTTTTAAAAAAAATTAAATTTATAATATTTATATAATTTTTTTTATAAAATTAAAAATATAAAAAAAATTAATGAGAGAATAAATTTTTTTTAACTCTTAAACTTTATATAAAATTTTAATTATATATATATATATTTTTTGTAAATCTAAAATAATTAAAAATAAATTTATAATTTAAACTTCGTAAAATTTTTATTATTTAATGATAAAAAAAATGATATTTTTGAAAAAAAATAAAAATTTAAGAACATTTTAGTCCAAAACACCGATAATGTTACAATATCTAAGAGAAGAAAGGTAATAATATTCTCGATAATAATATTCCCGATAATATATCCAAAAAAATCTACTATTAATAATAAAACATTACCGAAAATGAATTTTCCGACCAACCAAACATGAAAATATGGTATTCCCATCCATGAGAATATCCCACAATCTTTGAACCAAATACCTTAGGACAAAGAAAATGCTACGTCATCATCGGAAGTTGTCACCGTTGTCGAGGTGTTGCCGGCGAGTGGAAGGCGCGTGTGGTTCATGCGACGCCCTGCCTCTGCCTTTTTTGAACACCGAAAATCATCGAAAATTATAAAAAAATTCAATGAATTGCAAAAGAAGTTTATAGGATGCAAGTGAAGCCATAACCGTTTTCCATAACCAACTTTGGGTGGGATTAGTAACAAACCGAAGCCATTTTAGTACAAATACGCATTAATCATACCATTATCAAGGGGGATTAAAAAAGCATTTACTACACTCGAGGAAAGGAGGAAGAAACTTCTTAAAAGAAATATATCGTTAGGGACTCTTGCCGGAGCGTTGCCGGAGTAATAGCCGGGTTCATTGGAAAGCTTGCTGGAAATTCATTTGAAGCTAACATCTTCTACCCGAGCTTTGTTTTCTATGTTTCATTCGGTTCGAAAGGGGGAATTTATCAAGGTCACTGTCAGTTACGGGGGCCGAACGGAGGCCAGTGGTCGATGGATGGAGACTAACGGTGTTCGTCGGAGGTTCGGTGACAATCTCTGGTAGTTAGATGGTTGAAGGCGAGAGGATTCTCTTGAATCCGAGTTTAGTTTAGGAGTTGAGAACACTTGGGGTTTCATTTTTGGAAGTGTTCTTGGGGTGTTGGATTTAGATTGAGAAAAGTTATACTTAGTTGTGTTAAAGTGGGAGAGAAGAGATTTGAAGTAGTTTCATGGATTGAAAGGAGGAAATGTGAAGAGCAAGTTTGATATTCTTGAGTTTTGGAGTGTTTGATCCTCTAAAAACATGAAATCTCATATTTTTTATGTTTGATATTCTTTTGGTTGAACACAAGATGAACAAAGAAGATCACATGAAGAACATTTAAAGAACTTTGAAGTTTGATCTAAAAGGAGTTATAAATCTGGAAAAATGTGTTTAGGAGGAAAATTTAGAGAGAATTTTGACTAAGAGGAATTTTTTTTGGAAGAAAATGAGCCTTACACGTGAAAATGAGGGATTTTGTAATCTGGGGATATTTTGGGGTTAATTTCAAAGCGGGCCATTGCAGTTTTAGGAGTATTTTTTTGGATAATTTCTTTTATTTATTTCATTCTGATCACTACTTTTACATTAATTGTTCCTTTGAATTTTCTATGAATGCAATTTGATCCCAATTTCATTCCCTTTCCATGCTTCTATATTTAATTCCCTAATTTAGATATTATCTTTGAAATCTTTTATTTTAGCCATGTGTATAATTATAAATTAAAACCCTTAAAATTTAAGACCTTTAGATTTAGTTGCTCTTTAGAACTTGATTAATTAGGTCCTTTAAATTTTACAATTCTTTTAATTTAGTTCTTAATCTTAACTTATAAGTTTAGAATTAAACTTTAGGTTTAGAACTTCATTAATTGGATCAATAGATTAGATCAAAGACCTTTCTGTAGTATTAATCACTAATTTAGAATAAATTTGATCATTCTAAATTTAATTACTTCTAATTTAGTTCGGATACCTTTTAAAAATTATCACACTTTAACGATCAACAATGATTTCTATCGATTAAAGAATCACATTGATTAATTTTTTATATTTAAGGGATTAATTTAGTATAAAAATATTCATAGATTTAATTAAAAGAATTAAAATTGAGGAGATTTTTCGAAGTTCCCATCCTATTTGTTTAATACAATTCTTATTAAAAGATATTGTATTAATAGATGATTACCAATACCCTAGTATCAAAAGATTTAGGTAAAAGGATAAATTTTGTACATGTAGTAAACCTAATTTATCATTTTCGTCCATATCGTATTTTCGCATCAATTTATCCCTCGAAGTTTCTCAATTGCATCATTATATACCTACCCCTAACTTAAAACCCTAAATTATAAACCTTAAATCCTAAACTATAACCTCATAATCTCTAAATCATAAACCCTGAATACTAACTTAAAGTTTATGATTTATGGTTTTAAGTTAGGGGTAGTGTATAGAATGATGCAATTAGACAACATTAAGGACTAAATTGATATGAAAATACGATAAGGGTAAAAATAATAAATTGAGTTTACTACAGAGATAAAAGTGACCCTTAAGTCAAAGATTTATAACAAATGTAACAAAAAAAGAGATCTATTGCAAAGATTTGCTTTTAGTTGTTAAAAGTAATTTTCAGGTTTGAATCCTACCACTTCCACAATTTTCAAATGGTTAAGTTTTTAACGCTATTAATTTATAACAAATACTAAAACTTATTTAGTTAAAAACATTGTATATAAGTAAATTAGAAATTATTTATCTCTTAATAGATAATTCATTCACTCATTAATCATTATTTTATTTTATCATAACATTATATTATCCTTCAAATAAAAATAAAATCATAATAATTAAAATTGATTAATCTTATTATATATTTAATACTGTTAAAAAATTATTTAGTAATATTTTTAAATATCATCTTTCAAAATTTAAAATTTCTATTTACTGAACAATATATATATTCAACAATTAAAATTTAAGTACAAAATAATTTTTTTAGTCTAAATTCAATATTTATTAAATCAACACCTAATTTATCAAATACTTTTATCTCTTAGGATTTGAGTGGAGACAAATAATAGTAATCAAATCAAAATTTATAATCATAATGAGAATTTTGAGAGCAAATATATACTGTTATAGGCTTTATTATTTGAATTATTTTATCATACACTGAAAATCGGTATTTTAAAAATCAGTTTACAAGAAAAGAAGGTAATTCTCCATAAAATAATTTCACGGTATCTCTAAAGCAGATCAAATTTCATGATAGTTATGCTCATTACCTCTCCAAATGTTGAGCACCGCCAATTTCATGATCTTCAAAGTTTTGAATCCTGTTTGATGATCTCTGCCTTCCAAGCATCCATCTGAAGGAACCAAATCGTGATCCTGATCCTGAACCCGATGGTCCACCGTCCTTTTCCACTTGGGCAGCACTATGGGACGCATGCTCCTCTATCGGAGGAGCCGTCGGTCGAACACTATTGACCGACTCGACGTCCTCCAGCTGAACCGTCGGCTCAGCCGCAGTGCGACATACGGGACAAGTCGTATGTGACCCAAGCCACGTATCTATACACTGCACGTGAAATACGTGGTTACAATTCGGTAAAAGCCTAATAATGGACTCCTCCGTGATGCTCCCTAGACAAACCGAGCATTCTTTCGGCTCATCGACCTGACCAGCGTATGTGAACATCGGCAATGAAGCTATAACCAAAGGGTCGAGCCCCGTCTTGGGTGATTCGACAATGCGAATTTCACCGACTGGTGCACTTTGATCGGTTCTCGAACCATAAAGTTCAGCTTGACGTCTCCGTTCTTGGCGTCTAAGAAGATACCTTGCATAGAGATGAAGTAAGATCATGAGCATCACCACTCCGACCAACGATCCCACCGCCGCCAACATGATCCTGCGGGTGACACCGAAGGTCCGATCATCATCATCATCATCTTCCGAACCCATAGTTTTGGCTTAGTTTCTCATCAATAGAACCTTAATATATAGTTTATCGGAGAACGAACCGCCTTTGTTTATAGGTTTTGCTAGTGTGAAATGCAAGAAATGTTTCCTCTTAAAAGAACACATAAATTTCAAAGCAAGATTGCTACACTTCAACACTTTTCAATTTCACCCGTATCTTGAGTTTGACTTTACAACTGCTGATATTGCCTACAAATTAATCCTTCTTTGTGATTTGTCCATATAATAATGTCATAAATGACTCATTAAAGGGTGTTAGCTGATAAATTAAGAGAAATTCAATGGCATAAGATCAAAATTTTCCAAGGATTTGGTGTAGATTTTTCAAATGCCGCTTGTTTTACGTAACCCATTAGATATGTTGACATTGTGTTCTATATGAAGACTAAGATATTATAGATTTTAAGACTATGAGATCAAAAGGGTGACCATCATTTGAAATGTTAAAGTCCTAACTTGAGCTGCAATTTCCCTTTTTCCAATATGACGATTTTCTTGTTTTACATTCTCATTTTATAAAAAAAATTACTTGACAGACCCGGTTCATCACGTCACTCGTGATTTCAGTGAATAAGAGATATAAGTTTTAAAATAGATTCTAAATAACTACCGCTTCGTATTTGTATGTAAGAAATAGGTGAAAATTCATCTTGGAAAATAATGATATGATAAATATTATTAGTTGGGACTACAGATAATATGGTGAGCTGAAACTATCTAATAATTTCTCCACCTCTTATTTACATGTAAGAAAGAAGTAACGACTGACCTTATAAAATGAGATGAACAAATATAATTAGTTAAGACCATAGATAACGTAATGAGCCAGATTCATATGATAATTTTTTCATTTTATGATTTTTATATTTAACGAAAGTCCCCTTAATTAGTGGCTCTTCGATTATTAAACAAAAAAAATAGATGACTGAATTCCAGGAGATATACATAATAATTATTAAGTTTACTTTCCAGTTTCAATCCTCGATTAGTGTGTTGGTCTTCTGAGCCGAAAGTCGCGGGTCCGAACCCCGCCGGGACCAAGTTTTTTCCTCTTCGCTGGGACCATTTTTTCCCCTCTCTCGTTCGCGTAGACCACGACAATCAAACCCCACGTCATCAACGATGAAAACGCAAAACAGTAAACCCCATTTACCATTCAAAGGTCCGATCTTGCCATTTATTTTATCCAATAAAACTAGTGGTTAATATTCCACGAAGACCACCTGAAAGTAAACCCCCAATGAACTCAATTGCATGTAGAACAAAAAACCCCATCCATTTTGCTTCCGTCCTTCCCCAATTCAACATTGTTGAACAATGATGGCCACAACTTGATTTCATCACACAATTCCAACACTTAGATATTCCATTGCTGCAACAAACGTTGTTGCCCATGAACTTGTCAATTGTTTGTTGTACTGTTTTTGTTGTTACGACTTAGTCTACCTTATCATATCTCCCTAGTGTTGAATTTTCTCAAATGTGGAAAAAGTCTAAAAAGAAACCCAACCAACACTCTCACGCATTAAGACAACATCTCCAAGCTCTTCATTATCAGTTGTTGAGACAAAAAATGAATATATAAGGTAACGGCGTTTTTCCCGAAATATCACCTATACCTTATAATTTTTCTTGTTAAACACCCATCAGATTATTTTTCTCGATCTAACATCCTTTGCAGTAAGGTGCGCCCCCTACAGCGTACTTTACGCTGACATGGATATACGTGTCTAAAGCGCGGCCCTTGGGGCACGTCTTACGCCACGTAGGGCTATAGCGCGGGTCAGGGGTCGCGTTTTTCAATTATCACTTGCTCAATTATCAGACATGCATAATGCAAGGCGCGGTCTTTGCACCGTGCCTTGCATTATTTACTCGGACCTCTCGACTTTAAAGCATCCTCTCTCGGCTATAAATAACTCTCTCCCCGTAAACTCTCTCACAATTCCCTCTCAACCGAGAAATTAATACAACAATCCTTTTAATCAGTAAATAACACCCGACAATCATCTTATATTTAATTCAAAAGTTTGTTCGATCTTTCGTTGTAAGGTAACTTTGTTATAATATTTTTTTATTATACTTATTGTTTACTATGATTATTTGAAAAAAATATTATAGTAATTGTTTTCAATTAATTTCTTTGTCAGTTCAAGGGGAAAGCGGGAGCATACGTCAAAATATTTTTGCGGTGCAGGTAATAATATAAAATTATATTATTTAAATTATTTACGTTTATGTGTACAAATTTTATTGTGTTAAATTTTCGTTCATATATTATTTATTTAATCAGGTTTGTTTTAGTTATTTTTTTGCAAATATAATATTGTCGCACTTTTAAACTTTAAGAATGTCGCGACTTTCAGCTATTGTTTATTATGATGGAGAAATTCGAGAATATGAAACCGGCGTTGTTTTCGTATCAAATGAGCGTGTTAAAATATCATTCAAGATAAACATAACTCTTGAGGAGCTTATAACGAAGATTTCGAGGAAGGTTCATGTTGGAAGTAGTAGAAGAATGTCGTCGTTGTAGTATATATTTCCAACATCATTGTTGCCATTAACTTATACAACGTTCGAACTATCGAACAATGATGATGTTGAAATGATGGTTGATTCTCAAAGTAATTATTTAGACGATGATATTGAGATGTATGCAAAGTTTGTTCAAGTGCGTACTGTTCGGGGTCAGTCATTAAGCTCCCACTATGGGCTGGCTGAACAAGTTGACAGCCCGACTACAGTAATGTGTAATGATTTTAACGCCATAATGGGAAATCCGCAACATGGTGCCGTCACATCAACTTCAATGGGGAGATATTCATCCGCAACTTCTTACGATATGTACCGAGGTGGGTCCACGAACAGTCCGTATGGCAACATCGCTCCCAGTTCAAGGGGAAGGCATTCATCTACAAATTTCTTTAACCTTAATATGGAGATGCCATTGACTCAACAATCTGTGCAGTTTTCATTTGACACGATGACTTCAAGCTCCAGGGGGAGGCATTCCACTGCGAGCTTTTTCGATCTCAATGTCGATATGTCTTTTAGTTCAAGGGGAAGACGTGCAAGTAGTAGATTATTCGACCTAAATGTGAAGAGCATGGAGGAACCATCATCTCCACCAGAAGAATCGCTTCGTGAGCCTGGTGCGGATGGTGCTAAGACTGGACTATTCATTCACCCAGAATCACCGCAATTCAACTCCGATGATGATGATAATGTATATGAAGTTCCGTTAAATGTGGCACAAACTGACCCTCCAGCACACATGTATGAAGTTGATTATAGTGTAATGTATGGGCCATAATTTGCGGATATGCCTCATCTCGGTAACTATGGATATTACTCATCAATAAATAATGGTGAGTTATCTTTAGACATGGATTTTTCAAGCAAAGAATAAGCGATGATGGCTATACAAAATTAAAATATTCATAATTCTGTTTAATCGATAGTCGACCGCTCCATAACAGAAAAATATGTATGTTACTGTGTCCGGTGCGAAAACGGATGCAATTGGATGGTTCGCGTATCGAAGTGGAAGAGGAAAAACAACATATGGGAACTAACAGTATACAACGGTCCTCACACATGTTGTGCTGGAGGGGTCAACCAAGATCATACCAACTTGGACTCTGAAGTGATATGCCAAGCCATTATGCCCATGGTAAAAACAAGCTCTCATATAACTGTTGATGTGTTGATTTCAGCTATACAATCGCAGTATGGGTACACTATCTCCTATAAAAAAGCTTGGTTGGCAAAACAAAATGCCATTGTCAAACTTCATGGCGAATGAGATGCATCTTACAACGAACTTTCAGGCTGGTTTAGGCTGGTGCGGAGGTTGAATCCTGGGACAATTGTGGACTTCGAAACCTCCTATTCATACCATAATGATTGAGTTCTTCGCAATCGATGCCAATTCTAACGGGTTTTTTTAGACTTACCCACAGTGCGTTAATGCTGTCAAATATTGCAAGCCTGTGGTCCAGATCGACGGGACTTTATTGTATGGAAAATACAAGCAAGTTTTATTATTGACAGTTGTCCAAGATGGCAATCGCAACATTCTTCCAGTTGATTTTGCTCTTGTTGAAGGAGAATATACAAATTCTTGGGTTTTTTCATCCGAAACTTACGTGCACATGTTATCACTAGGGAAAAATCTGTCATTTCAGATCGCGGAGCTGGGATCAAAGCAACAATGGAGTCTTTGGGTCCAATGTGGCAACCACCCTTTGTCCAACATAGGTATTGTCTCCGACACATTGCTGTGAACTACCATGGAAGGTACAAGAAGAATGATGAGTGTCAATTAATTGTGCGTATGGGTAAGTGAAACTGATGTAGTTTATTTTCTTTTGATCATTTTAATTTTGCAAAGAAAACAAGTTAGTAAGTTATATATTTTTTGATCAGGTTACAAACTACTTTCTCAAACGTTTGAATCAATGCTTCAAGATTTACGGGCGAAAAACGAGGAAGGATACGATTACATCAGCCTCATCGATAAAGAAATATGGACGAACGCATATAATGGTGGATATTGATATGGACACATGACGACCAACTTGGCTGAGGCAATCAATTCAACCTTAAAGGGTGCACGTCACTTACCTGTAGCGGCTTTGGTAAAAACTATATATTTTCGTTTGGGGCACTTTTTGCAAAGCTCGGGGGACAAGCTCAAACCTAGATTCAAGGCGATCATGTCTATCACCCTAGATTAGTTGCAGATCTACAAAAAAAAATGATGCATCAAGTGGAATGTATGTAACAAGCTTCTCTAGAAGACATGAATGTTTCGTGTCATAGAGTTGTCGCAACCTCTTCAAGGAATTGAAGCTGTGCTGTTAAGAGTAAATCTACGGGACAGAACGTGAGACTGTAGGTTTTTTCAAGCTCTAAAGTATACATGCTCTCATGTGATAAAAGCTTGCTCGCATACACGTCAAGACTATAATTGTTTTGTGGATTCCGTATACCTACTATCTGATGTTTTTAAGGTAT